GGGAATTGAATTCAGGACCTCTGGGAGAGCAGATAGTAGTGCTCTTACCAACTGAGCCATCTCTCCAGCCCTTAGTTTAACTTTCTTAAGCCTGTCATGTTGAATTTAACTTACTCCTTTGGTTTACTTTCTACATAGGCCAAGTTGGCCTCAAACTCGAGATCCCACCTCATTTCACAGAGTGCTGGGACTGTAGGCTGTGCCACCATGCCAAGCATTTGTCCTTGTTAGAAGGACACTTTCTTTGCCTGGGTCTCTGCTCTCACTTTCCCTTCCTGAAATGATTAACTCCTGGAGGTTAATGAATCCTGCAAGGTTTGGCTGAAGTGTTGCCTGTCTGACTTCAGGTGTCACCAGGCTCCTTTCTCCTTAGGACAGTGACGTGGCAGGTGGATTTTGTATTTCTAGGGCACGGTTTACGTGCAGGTGCAGATCTCTTAAGCATTTCCATAGCTCTTCCAACATGGTGATTCATACTATTTTTAGCGTGAGAATCTGTTCCAGCCTCCTAAGGTGATATTCTCTTCCTTATAGTTTTCAAGCAATTACAAAGCTATAAGTTAAATGCCACAGTGCTATACAGAGCTAAAAGAATTCACATCACAAGACCAATATAACAAACAATTTTGACATATTCCACTTTGCCTGAGAATTACTGTTATTATCATAGACATTACTGTTTTTGGCCTAATCTGTCGTTTTGATGGCTAGTTCAATAGTATACATAAAAGTAGCAGGAAGTATTTAATTCCCACATTCTTTTTCTTAATTAGGTAAAATTATATGTGCTTGCTGTGCGTAATATGCTCTGTGGGACATATGCACCTTGGACAATGGCTTGTTATGTCATATGTTACAGTCTCGTGATGAGAAGCCTTGACATTTTCTGAGCTGTCATGTCATTCTCCTGTCCATGTGGCCCCTGTGCTGCTGCGTGTTCTAGGCAGTCCCCACTTTGCATGGTGCTGCAAGTCCTGTTGCTTACTGCAGTGCAGGAGAACTCTGATACCACTTTCCCTTTCTATCTAAGACTGATCTTTGTGACTTCTGCCTCACCAGCTCCCCAGATCCTGAGAACCAGCATTCCACACTCTGTTCTATGGGCTTAGCTTCCAGCTCTGTATAGCAGAGAGGTGCCTGTGAAATTTGTTTTTTATGCCTGGCTTATTTCACTTAACATTATGTCCCCTGAGTTCAACCCTGTTTTCACAATTGTCAGGATTTCTTTTATGACTTTGTAGTAATTTGTCATGGTATATATCTATTCTTTTCTTTCTTTAGTTTTTTGAGACAGTTTCTCTGTGTAGCTTTGGCCATTCTGGACTCGCTTTCTAGGCCAGTCTAGCCTCAAACTCACAGAGCTCTGCCTGCTCCTGCCTCTCCAAGTGCTGGGATTACAGGCGTGTACCAACACACCCGGCTTTGTCTTTTTCTTTTTTGAGACAGGCTCTCATGTACCCTAAGCTGTCTTTGAACTCATAAAGTTGAGGCTGGTTTTCAACTCATGGTCTTTCTGCCCTTCAAATCCTAAATGCTGTGATTACAGATATGCACTATGATGCTTGGTTTTCCTGAATTGTTTTTATCCAATAATCTGATGATGACTCTTAAATTGGGTTTTATATCTTGGCATTGTGGATAATGTGCAATGAACAATAGATTGTAAATACTTTTTCAAATAGTGATCTGATTTAATATGTGTGTATGTATAGATGAATGTATGTATACAATGTCAAACTTTTGATACCTATTCATGATTATATTTGCTAATAATGAAGTGTTGAAAAATGATTTGTGAAAATAATCAGTCCTCTGATACAGATGAAATATGGTAGTGAATATTGTAAGGTACCTTCTTTTTGGGGTCCATTAGGGGGTTTGAGGTTTGTAGTATATATAGCCTGGCTATGATTTAACTATGTAGCCCTGGTTACCCTCAAGCTCTCAGCCCATTGCCTCATTCTTCTAAGTGTTGGGATTATAGGCATGCACTACCACTTCTGGTGTGTTTGGTTGTTTTGTTTCTCAACTCGATCAAACTAGAGTCATCTGATAAGAGGGAACTTAACTGAGAAAATGCCTCCATCAGATTGGCCTGTGGGTAGATCTTTGGGACATTTTTTTGATTGATGATTGATGTGGAAAAGCCCAGCCTGCTGTGGACCATGCCTTTCCTGGGCAGATGGGCCTGTGCTGTATAAGAAAGCAAAGGGTGCTGGAGAGATGGCTCAGAGGTTAAGAGCACTGGCTGCTTTTGCAGAAGGCCCAGGTTCAATTCCCAGTACCCATGCAGGCTCACAGAGGCCTGTAACTCCTGTTCCAGGGGGATTTGATGCCCTCTTCTGACCTTTATAGGGTCCAGGCACACACGTGGTGAACAGACATAATATGCAGGCAAAACACTCATACAATAAAAGAAATAAAGATATAAAATAGAAAAGAAAGAAAGCAGAAAGAGCAAGTCAGTAAGCAGCACTTGTTCATGAGCTCTGCTTCAGCTCCTTTTACAGGTCCCTGAGTCCTGCCATGACTTTCCTGCATGATGGACTGTGAGCTGTAAAGTGAAATCAATCCCAATCCCACTCCCATCCCATCATTGCTTCTGCTCATGGTCTTTATTATAGCAATAGAAATATAACTTAGACACTTGGCATCTAGGCTTTTTAAACTTTAATTGTTTGTTTTACTTTTATTATGTTCATATATGTGTGTGTTTGTCTTTGTATGAGTATGTGCTGGTGCCTGTTGGATCCCCCTGGAGCTGGAGTTACAGATAGATGTGAGCCACCAGATGTGGGTACTGAGAAGGAAATTCAGGTCTTCTAACAGAAGCAAGTGCTCTGAACCACTGAGCCATCTCTCCAGCCCCCAAGAACACTTTGATTTGAGTTGGGTATGCCTGTGTCACTTCTGCCTCCACCTGATAGCATGATTAGAAACACAAGTGGGCTGGACGCAGCACTTGGAGACAGAGGTTAAGTGGACCTCTGAGTTTGAGTCCAGCCTGGTATAGAATACAAGTTCTAGGGTAGCTAGTGCTACACTGAAAAACTGATAGAGACAGAGAGAGAGAGAGAGAGAGAGAGAGAGAGAGAGAAAACAGTGGACAGGTGGTCACTGTGATCTGTGACATAATTAAGATGCCGAGGTAGTCAGTCATTCAGAAGATCTGTGACATAGGCACCAGCTTTTGCTGTTGCTGCCTCCTCCTCTTTTTCCTATTCCTCTTCTTTTTGTTTTTGTTTTGAGACAGGGCATCTCTGTTTAGCCTTGGCTGTCCTGGAACTTGATTTGTAGACTAGGCTGGCCTTGAACTCACAGAGATCCACCTGTCTCTGCCTCCCAAGCTAGGGAAATAAGGGTGTGTGCCACCACGCTGGCCCTTCTTCTTCTTAAAACTGAAAGCAGATGGCTCAGCAGTTAAGAGCATTGGCTGCTATTCTAGAGGACTGCTGTTCAATTCCCAGCACCCACATGGCAGCTCACAACCAATCATGTGTAACTAGTTCCAGGAGATCTGATGCCCTCTTCTTATCTCTACTGTCACTAGGCATGCACCTGGTACACAGACGTACATGCAGGCAAAGTGTCAGCATCAATAAAATAAAATAAAATAAAATACATGCAGGCAAAGTGTCAGCATCAATAAAATAAAATAAAATAAAATAAAATAAAATAAAATAAAATAAAATAAAATATAAAATAAAATAAAATATAATATATAATATATAATATAAAATATAATATAAAATATAATATAAAATAAACAATGAAAACATTTGAGACAAGGTCTCATGTAGCCTAGGCTGGTTTCAGACTCAGTTTGTGGTTGTGGCTGACTGTGAACTCCTGAACCTTCTGATCCTACCCACTAAGTACAGGGCTGCAGACAGGCACCCCATACCAGGTCTGTGTGGTGCTGGAAGGGAACCCCGGGCTTTGTGGATGCTAGGCAAGACTCCCAACTGAGTCACATTTCAATCCTTAAATTTTCCATATCTGCCAAGTTTAAATCACACACTTGCCCGCCATTGTTATTTTTAAGGCTATTTCCTGTTTCTATCTGTTCTATATTCCTTCTTTTCTTTTCTCCTGCCCAACTTACTGTTTCTCCTCTGCTCTCCCAACCCCTTGTCCCATGGTCAGTTATGGTTTTGCTCAGCGTCCCAGTTCCCTGTCCTGATCAGTCAAATAAGCCATCTACTCTCCATAATGTGGGCATGACTCAGGTCAGGCCAGTTGTCCCCAGATCATGAGTGGTGGCATTCCTGTAGTCCCAGGTGAGGCAACCAGATTGTAAGTTAGAGACCAACTTGGCCTACACAGTGAGACCTTTGCTCAAAAATAACGGGTAGGGAGTGCTGAGAAATGGCTCAGTGGTTTAGAGCACATCGTTCATGCTGAGAATGTGTGCAACTCCATGTCCAGGGAGATCAAATTCTGTCTGTGGCCTCCATAGACACCTGCACTCATGAGCACATACTGCCCCCACATACACAGAATTTTTGAAGTAAATATTTTTTACTTTAAAAAAGTCGAAAAAGAAGGTGGTGGCTTTGTTATCATCCTTTCCCTCTGCAGATTGTGGTGTACTTTGTAAGCTTGCCTTTACTCTGTTCTTTAAACAAACAAACATGTCTCTACAAAACTGAGATTCTTCAGACTGAGGCTTAGGGAGCCCTTCATCCCTTACAGATGAGTCTAGGATGGTGTAAATGGGGCACTTGCTGAGCCGTGGCCTCCTGCTTTGCCCTCTGTCCCACAGAGGGCCTTTCATAGCAGGATGGACAGGAAGGAAAAGTAATGGCAGTGCGGGGGGGAGGGAGTCCGCTGTGTCGTCTGCTCCTCGCTGGGCAGCTGCCCGCCGGCCCTCCCTTGGATCACTCCTTTGGCCATGCCACTGTAGACGGCTTTCCCATGGTGCCAGAGGGGTGCCTGGTCCATACTGAACTAAACCAGACTTTCCTTTTCCTCGCCTTTCTCTAATGCGTGTTATCTAGGTGAAGATGGAGCTGGGAAAACAAGCTTAATAAGAAAAATGCAGGGAGTAGAGGAGTACAAGAAAGGAAGAGGACTGGAGTATCTGTACCTAAATGTCCATGATGAAGACAGGGACGGTGAGTGTGGCCTCCTGAAGTCAGCTGTGGGCTCTGCTCTTCTCCATCACACTTGTCCAGTTGTCATTGCTCAGCATGGGTTCTGGAATGTCACTTGGATCAGTGAAGAGTTAGGTTGATGTGAAGTTAGGTTTCAGACTGTATGGTTTTGAGCATCTTAGGGTATTCCATGTGCAATGTTTAACCTTCTTGCCATCTTTAAAAAATGGTCTCAGACCCAGGCGGTGATGGTGCATGCCTTTAATCGCAGCACTGGAGAGGCTGAGGCAGATGGATCTCTGTGAGTTCAAGTCCAGCCTGTCTACAGATGGAGACCAGGACAGCAAGTGCTACACAGAGAAACCCTGCCTCAAAAAACAAGACAACACAAAGCAACATAAAACAAAAAACAGTCTCAGTTTCGAGGTTTATTTATGGTGATTGCTTTACCCATCTTTCTTTCACCACTTCCTCATTTTCCTATAATAATGTAATTGTCCCATACTTGCTCTCATTTGCTCAGCACATTTCCTTTTTGAGTGTGTAATTTCTTGAATATGTACAGTTCTGTCTGCCGAGGGTAAAATATAAACATGGTATTTAATGCTTGATTAAGGAATGGGAAATAGAGGAGGGATGCTCTGGTCCTGTAGTTGCCTGTTACTCATTTTAGGCCTTTCTAAATTGTCATATCTGACCCAAATAGTGGAGCCTTATCAGTGCTAACAGACCTCTGCTGTGGATACTTAAATGACCTAATAGTGCTGTAAAGAAACTGTGCGGCTTCTTCCACTCTTTTGTAGATCAGACAAGATGTAATGTGTGGATCTTAGATGGAGACCTGTATCACAAAGGGCTGCTCAAGTTCTCACTGGACGCCCTTTCTCTGAAGGACACTCTGGTCACACTGGTTGTTGACATGTCAAAGCCTTGGACTGCTTTGGATTCCTTACAGAAGTGGGCAAGTGTGGTGAGAGAACATGTTGACAAGCTGAAAATCCCCCCTGAAGAGATGAAAGAAATGGAGCAGAAGTGTGAGTGGCCAAGAAATACCAACATGGCTTCCAATTTCGATGTGTTAGCTGACTATAACAGAGACTGTTCAAGAGCAGTTTGTGCTTTTAAATGCTGAGCCATCTTTCCGGCCTGCCCACCTTAAGTTTGGAGACACGGTCTCTCACTGAGCCTAGAGCTCACATATTTAGTTCTAGCTGCCCAGTGAGCTGCAGACATCTGTTTGTCTCTGCATCTCCAATTGTTTTTTTTCCTTAAAGATTTTATTTGTTTATGTATATGAGTGTTGTATCTGCATTTACACCTGTTTATCAGAAGGGAGCAGCAGATCCCATTATAGGTGGTTGTGAGCTACTATGTGGGTGCTGGGAATTGAACTTGGGACCTCTGGAAGAGCAGCCAGTGCTCTTAACCACTGAGCTATCTCTCCAGCCCCCAATTGTTTTTTTTTTTTTTCTACAAACAAGACTCAGTGAAGGAAATATAATAATGACTACCATTTTGAAATTCAATTTGAATTTTAGTTTTAATATTTAATAAACATAATAGTAAATACTTTGGTAAAAGTGTTTTATTCTTATCAAATGACTGTGTGTGTTTATTTTGAAAGGTCAGTTTTATGGGTAAAAAAATTCGAACCTTCAGTTCCTCTCTTCCCAGCAGTTTTGTGACTATTAGTCTTATCAACTTTGTCAGTGTGAAATACACATGAAAGGATGTTGACATAAGTAAAAAGAAGTTAAGTTGGTTGTTATTTACAGAGTGTGTCAGAGTGTGCAGCTATTGTTTGTGGAATCATTTTCCCTCCTCTCCTCAGTCCCTGTTTGTGCTAGAACCATTGCTTCATGCTTCTGGCTTACAGACTTGTGTGTGTTCTGTATGAATTGTTATGTTATGAATATGCATGTATATTTGTTTGTTTGTTTGTTTTTGGTTCAGTGTCTCCCATTGTAGCTTAGGCTGGACTCAAGCTTGAAGTCTTCTTGCTCTCCTTCTTCAGTGTTGAGACGCAGACCTGTGCCACACACCCGCCTGTCCTAAAGGATTTTAATCCTTAGCTTTCTTCACCGATGGTCATTGCCTGCGGGGGGTAGTTGCCCTCTCCAACACCCTCGCTTCGTGCTTGGGTTAGGACCACGCTTGCTTGTAGTTCACACTCATGTGCGTGGTTTGTATTTGTGTAGGCGTGTGCATATAGATCCCATTTATTTATTTGCTTGTGTTTTGAGACAGGGTCTCTCTGTGTAGCCTTGGCTGTCCTGGAACTCACTCTGTAGACCAGGCTGGCCTCACACTCAGAGCTCCCCCTGCCTCTGCCTCCCAAGTACTAGGATTAAAGGTGTATGCCACCACCGGCCAATAATCCCCTTTCTTTTTGATTTTGTGTATGTATGTGAGAAATGTGCACATGCGGGTGAAGGTCCTATGCCGTCCAGAAGAGGCCTTTGGGTCCCCTGAGCTAGAGGTAGAGCAGGTGAGCTGCCCACGGTGCTGAGAACCAGACTGTTCAAGAGCAGTTTGTGCTTTTAAATGCTGAGCCATCTTTCCGGCCTGCCCACCTTAAGTTTGGAGACACGGTCTCTCACTGAGCCTAGAGCTCACATATTTAGTTCTAGCTGCCCAGTGAGCTGCAGACATCCGTTTGTCTCTGCATCTCCAGAGCTTGGGTTACAGGTATACACCGCTGGGTCTAGCTTTTATATGAGTGCCCAACAAGTTATTTTCCAAATTAACCATCTCCCTAGCCCGTTGGAAACTCCTAACCAGGGAAGGAATTATAGACATGCCTGATTATGACCTGTATTCATGCAGGGCATGGTGGCTCACCCACAATCCCAATAGTCAGGAGGCTGAGTGGGTGGGTAGCAGGCCACTACATAGAGAGAAGCTCTCACAAGAGAAAGAAACACCCAGCTGAGGCGGTGGCTCGCGCCCATAATTCCAGCTCTCTGTAGGCTGAAGCAGGAGAATTTAAGGACAGTCTGAATTACTCCTGCCCCAGGTTATGCTAGGAATACGGTGTGTTCTCCCATTTTCAGTTAGCATTGTTTATTTTATTTTATTTTATTTTATTTTATTTTATTTTATTTTATTTTATTTTATTTTATTTTATTTTATATGTATGGGTGTTTTGCATCTGTGTCTGTCTGTATACCATGTGCATGCAATGACTGTGGAAGGCATCAGGTCCACTGGAACTGAAGTTACAGATGATTGTTAAGACACCATGCTGGGATTTGAACCTGCGTCCCCTGGAAGAGCAGCCAGTGCTCGTAAGTGCTGAGCCATCTCTCCTGCCCCAGCACTATACTTAAGTTGTAAATTTTTTTTCTTCCATGTTTAGTTTTCTCAAATTATTGCAGTGACCTTCCTTTAGAGGTCGTCCGTGCATGCATGTTCTCGTGTGTGTGTGTGTGTGTGTGTGTGTGTGTGTGTGTGTGATGCACAGGTGTTTAGAATATATGCAGGAGACACACTAAAGACAATGAATCATATTTTTTGCCTGTGTGTGGATCCAAGTGCAACTCCATGTGGAGGTCAGAGAACAATTTGCAGGAGTTGGTTCTCTCCTCCCACTCCGTGGGTCCCAGGTATCAGGCCCAGGCATCAGGCTTGGCAGCAGCTACCTGGAGCCACTCTCTGGCCTTCAAAGTCTCACACACCTAACTAGACCTACACGGAGCCCACTGTGTAGAGCCCTTAGTGTGGAAATGTGCTGAAAATCAGTCAGCGGACCTGTTCTTTGTGTGCCTTTCTTTTGTATGCATAGTTTTTTTAATCTTTTGTTTGTTTGTTTATTTCTCTTCCTATGTAAGATGGTGTTTGAGCCTACAGAAGACAGACTTGTATTGTGGCAGAAATAGTGCCATTTCTGAACTGTTTCCTTTGACTTGCAGTGATTAGAGACTTCCAGGAATATGTGGAGCCAGGAGAAGACTTCCCAGCTTCTCCTCAGCGAAGAACCACGGCTGCACAGGAGGATAGAGACGATAGCGTCGTCTTGCCCCTGGGTGCAGACACACTCACACACAACCTGGGCCTCCCAGTGCTCGTAGTGTGTACAAAGGTTAGTTTGCTTTCCGAGTGTCTTGTAGAATGTGCAGCATCTTGTTTTGGGGTGTTAGTTTTCCTAGTTGACTCACTTTCTGTTGAGACAAGGTCATGTGTGTCTATAGGCTGTCGTCAGATTCCCTTTCCTTATGTTCTGGTTCCGGGAGATGTGTGTGCTAACATGCTAATGAAGTGTTTGGGGTCTGAAACAGTTTCTTTGAAAGAAAATGGTATTTCAAATTCACTTTGTGGTTGAACTTCATTTTCATAATTTCAGTTAGACCTCACTGTACTTTTAGTTCCTTAGAAATAGTTTCAGGTGAAATGATAATGATACTTTTATTGTTAATTTAGTTTGCTTATTCTGTTTTATGTCTCTGGGTGTTTTGCTTATTTGGATGTTTGTGTACCATGTGCATGTAGTGCCCTCATTAGCCAGAAGAGGGCACCAGATCTCCTGGTCCTGAAGTTTAAATGATTGTGAGCTGCCGTGTGGGCGCTGAGAGTTGAACCTGGATCTTCTGGAAGAGCAGCCAGTGCTCTTGTCTCCAGAACCGTCTCTTCAGTCCCCAGCAGCTTTTTATTTTTATAAGTAAAATGCCTTTCTTTTTGTTTTTTGTTCATTTGCTTTGTTTTGAGACAGGATCTTCTCGTCTAACCTTACTGTCTAACTCTTTCCTCTGTCCCCAGCGCTAGGATTAAAGGCCTGTATCGCTGCAGCATCTTAAAATGTATCTCAACATCACGCTTTCTTATACTAATTTCTCTTCTCTTCTCTTCTCTCTCTTCTCTTCATTCCTTTCTTTCTTTTTGTTTGGTTTGGTTTTGTTGTTTTGAGGAAGGGTTTCTCTGTGTAGCCCTAGCTGTTCTGGAACTCACTCTGTAGACCAGGCTTTTAACTCCTTGTATCACCTGTTACATTATGTTAATATGCCATTATTAAGAACTTGTTATTTGTGTGTTTATTAAAAGGTGCTGACAGAATCACTGTTTTCAGAATTCTGTTAGCTTCCTGGGCATGGTGGTTCACAACAGGATCCCAGCTTCAGGAATCGGGAGGCTCATGAGTTCAAGACTAGCCAGGGCTAGCTACATAGCCAGACCTTATCTCATAAGTACAAAATAAACTAAAATTTCTGTTAACTTAGTTCTTTTATTGAATATATTTTGTAATGAAAAGATACTTCTTATAAAGCATAATGTATCCTCCAAGCCCATTTTCTCCCCTTGGTGCTGAGTAATGTGTTTTTACTGTTGTCCATTGTGGAATAGTGGAGAAAGTGTCAGGACATAACTGTTCTATTCCATTCCACGAAATACAGGGCCTTGTATATGCTACTAACCTAAACCTAAAGGCCTAAAATTATCCCTGGCCTTCATGCCATGGAAAAAGCATGTAATGAGATGAAGGTTCAGAATTTGTTCATCTTTGGGATAAAAATTATTAAAAACAAACAGACAGCAACAAAAACAGAAACAGTAGATTGCTGTGAGATAAAAACCAGCCTGGTCTACAGATTGAGTTCTAAGACAGCTAGGGCTACGTGCCCCTGTACCAGGGGTGAGGGTTAGGGGTAAATGAAATTAATGTTTGGACCTAACACTTAACAAACAGTTTTCCGTAGCCAGGCGTGGTGGTGCACGTCTTTAATCCTAGCACTCGGGATGCAGAGGCAGACAGATCTTTGTGAGAATGAGGCCAGCCTGGTCTACAAAGCGAGTCCAGGGCAACCAAGGCTACACAGAGAAATCCTGTCTCGAAAAACTAAAAAAAAAAAAAAAAAAGTCTCCCTATGTTCAGTCTTAAAAGTTTTTATTATTATTTAATTTATGTGTGTTTGAGCTTTTCTATAGTGACCATGTAGAGGTCAGAGGACAGTTTGTGGGCAGTGATTGGGAACTGAGATAGGATGTCAGGCTTACTGCAAGTGTCACCTTCACCATTGTCATTCTTGAAGCTGATGTGGTTGAGGACACACATTCTTGGCATTCTTATACTTTTTGTTTTGTTTTCTTTCCCCCATCCTTTTTTGAGCTCATATGCTAAAGTACACCTGAAGGTGTCTTGGATTTATGCTATGTAGGAGTGCTCTGTCTGCATGTACACCTGCAGGCCAGGAGAGGGCACCAGATTCCAGCATAGAATGTGAGCATGGCTGTGAGCCACCATGTAGTTGCTGGAAATGGAACTCAGGACCTCAGCAAGAGTGGGCAGCCAGTGCTCTTAACTACTGAGCCATCTCTCCACCCTTCGGTTTACCCTTTTTAAGAAGTGAGAGCATGCTGGGAATTAAACCTAGGGCCTCACACATCCTCTGCCGCTGAGCTACATCTCCAGTCACTTACTGAGATTAAAAACTATTTCCTGCCATACTCCACCAGAAAGTACCAGTCAGTCGGCAGTACAATGAAACGTCTTTAATCATTTGAAATGCCACTCATGAAAGTGGGCAAGCAGGCACTCAAGATTATGTAGGAACACTTCTATGATGTGTGATAACAAACCTACCTGTGAAATTTGACTCCAACTAATGTTACATGTAATAATTAACAGTATAAATTTTACTTTATTTTTATATTTTACACCTTCAATTTAGAAGGGTTTTGGTGAAATTATGTGGACGTTCTGGTGTTTGAACATGCCTCCTTTACATTGTCCTTAGTGTTTGTTTGTTCTCTATCTGCCCCTGCATGTCAGAAAGGGGCATCAGATCCCAGTGTAGATGGTTGTGAGCTACCATGTGGTTGCTGGGAATATGAACTCAGGACCTCTGGAAGAGCAGACAGTGTTCTTAACCACTGAGCCATCTCTCCAGCCCTTTAGTGTTTTTCTATAGTGAGGAAGAATTAACTCCTGCTCATTGTGCAGGTGGCTTTTCAGGCCAGCTTCATTTTGTTATTGAGATTGTGATGAGGTGATTGAAGCACCAGGAATGGGATGAGGCCACAGGTGGAAGGGATACGCGCTGTTTTCTGTAGCGCTGACATAGGCGAGATGGATTCATTCATCCTAGGAGATAGTGGCCGAATGGCAAATGTGACCACTGGACATACGTCTGTTGGTCTCCATTCTTTCATGTATTGAAACTGTCAGGAGCATCCTGGCCTGGTCAGACTGAGTGTAACGCAGAAGCCAGCACTGTCAACGATGTCTCTGCTGATCTTCCAGGGCCTGCTCCTCATTTACCATGTGTGCTGGTAACTTATGTTCTCTTGTCAACTGTTGAACTGTTTGGTTGTTTAAATTGTCCTGTTGGAGTTCAGTGTTTAAATTAAAGTTACCGGAATGCCATCTTATGATTGGTTTATCTCCACAGTGTGATGCCATTAGTGTATTGGAGAAAGAACATGACTACAGAGATGAACACTTTGATTTTATTCAGTCACACATCCGCAAGTTCTGTTTACAGTGTATCCTTTAACTGTAGAGTGCCTACCAGGCAAAACAATTAGGATGGACTTTAAAACTTCTGGGAACATTGTTCCACCTCTCCCTGCTCCCCAGCTCACTTGCATCTGGTGGTCTAAAGTGTTGGTACTGTTCTCTCTCTGCTTTCTGGATGACATGGGAGAAACAGATTGACTCAAGGCCAGTCCTGTGGAGACTCTGTCTCAGTCTTCACTGAGCCCTTGAGAGAGGCTCAGAGGTACAACGGGCTTCTACAGGACACAAAGGTATCTGCTGAGAGGATGAGCAGGAAATCTCTAGTCTTGATGGAGGCTGGCTTATTTTTTTCTAGAGTTTTGGTGTGTGTGTGTGTGTGTGTGTGTGTGTGTGTGTGTGTGTGTGTGTGCGCGCGCCTCCAAGTACCCTTACACTCAGCTCTGGGTGGAACCTTTTCATAGCAGGCTCTCCCTTTTGAAAGCCATCTGGATCAGCATCTACTTTTCATTTTAAACAGACACATTGCTTCAGTTCATGTGAGCTGAAGAAAAGAGAGGCATTAGAGAAGCCTCTTGTTTATAGTAGCACAGTAAAGGGATGGGTCGTTTAGAAATTGGGGAAAAGATTGGGGACAGTAGCGCAGTAATGGCTCTTTCCTGCTCTGTTACAGTGTGAAGCGAGTATTCAAATGTGCAGTGTTAATTTGCCGTGTTTAAATAATTGTGCTTAAGAAAAATAACTGTCAGCTTGTGGTGGTTTGAGTGAGATGTCTCCTGCATGTGTTTGAACATGTGGTTCCATGTTGGTCCTGCTTCTGGATGAGGGTTTGATGGTGTGGCTTTGCTGAGGAAAGTGTGTCACTGGGTTTTGTGTGGGGCATAGCCTGTAACCCAAGTGCTTGTAGACTGACACAGGAGGCTTTTTTTTAATTACTAATATTTAATTTTTTAGAGACAGGGTGTTTGTGTGTGTGTGTGTGTGTGTGTGTGTAGCCCTGGATGTCCTGGAACACTCTCTGTATACCAGAGCTGGCCTCAAACTCAGACATCTGCCTGCCTCTGCCTCCAAGTGCTGGGATTAAAGGCCTGCACCACCACTGCCCAGCTGAATTATTATTGTTGTTGTTGTTATTATTATTATTATTATTTGAGGCAGGCTCACTTGTATCACATACTGGCCTCAAACTAGTCTGTGTAGCTGAAGATGACTTTGAACTTGTGATCCTCCTTGTTCTCCTTCCTGAGTTCTGGGTAATTCAGAATTTGCTAACTGTATCATCACATTAAATATCCTTTGCATTTCCTCCTGAGCCACTGCCCATATATGTACGTCTTAAGATGAAAACAAGGTTTATGGTGGCTTCATGAATTTCATACAATTTTCCTTAATGTGATGGTTAGATGGTGCAGCACTTATTTATACTTCAGTAAAAGAGAACAAGAACATAGACTTAGTTTATAAATACATCGTCCAGAAGCTGTACGGGTTCCCCTACAAGATTCCTGCAGTGGTGGTGGAGAAGGATGCAGTGTTCATGTAAGTGTGCTCAAAGCAGTTTCTCCTGCGGTGTCACCCTGTCTCTGGGTTCAGTTCTGAGCTGGTGTCTGAGGCCTGTGGGATGAGTGGATGGGGATAGTTTGGTTATCAGCGCCTGGACCAGCATCTCATTGCCTTGCTGTTCTACCACCTGTCTTTTGCAAGTTCTGTGCTATTGCAGCTAAATTGCCTGTGAAGTGCCTTATTAGTCACTTCCTTAGCTGGAACATGGGTGGGTTTACTTCTTTCCTGGGAGGGCCTGGTAGAATGCTTCCCTAGCATGCATGAGTTCCTGCCTTTGATCCCTGGGGCTGTACTCAGTGGGAGAGCATTCCACTGCATGGCAAAGCCCTAGCATCTCTCCCTAATGCTGCTCCCCTGGCTCCCCAAAAGTGCTTTGTGGGTTAAGTGAAAAAATTGATGGTACAACGTTTGATAGTTTTATGTGCATTTCTCTCTAGTCCAGCAGGGTGGGATAATGATAAGAAAATAGGAATATTACATGAAAATTTTCAAACTTTGAAAGTAGAAGATAATTTTGAAGACATCATAACCAAACCACCTGTCCGAAAGGTAAGCCTCAGAAAATGGTTCTACTCTGTAGACTTAGGCTGAGAATAGGGTAGTCTGTTGTGTTAAGGGCACAGGAAGAAGACATTTTCATTTGCTGCCAGGAGAGTTGCTGAGTCTCATGCCCCTGCCCCAGCAAGTGTCAGTCGACCTCTCAGTCGCCCAACATTGGTTTTTGCACACTTACATTTGCTGATGCTAGTACAGAATCTATTTCTAACATACTTTGGAGGCCACAGCTTGGCCTGAGTGAATACGTAGATCTTGAGCAGTTAAAGTACATGGAAGCTGTGGACTCCTGAGACTACAGCTCTTCCCAGAGCCAAGAAAAATTACAGTCATTACAGTCATTTTCTCCTTTCTACCTTTGAGGCATATCTTGGATCTTGACCGTAGTTACTGATTACCTGTATTGGCTCATAGCTATCCATTTTGGTTTAGTCTTGACTAAAGCTTTATTTTATGACTGTTAAGTGAGGTTCCAGAAGGTTTTCTTATGTGTACATCTTAACTTTGTATTAAGATATATATATATATCTTCAGTAGATATAGACATTTCAGAATGTGACATAAGATGTATATTTACTTGTAATCCTCTTCAAAGATTTTGTTTTGTTTTGTTTTTTGAGACAGGATTTCTCGATGTAGCCTTTGATGTCCTGGACTCACTTTGTAGACTAGGCTGTCCTCAAAATGTGAGAGATCCACCTGCCTCTGCCTTGCAAGTGCTGGGTTTAAAGGTGTATGGCACCACGCCGTGCTAATCCTCCTCAAAGAGTTAACCCAGCATTTTAGGAAAGAATAATCTTTTCTTTATATTTTATTTGTTTTTGTTTTTTGAAAGAATAATCTTGATGTGATACATATTATGAACCTTATTGAATTGCAGTATTCACACTTTATGCATCTTGTCTTCTGTGTGTGGGTTGTTAGTGGTAAGAAAGCAAGTGCTAGTGGAAATGAATCATCGTCTTAATTTGTTTTGGATAGCTATTGAAAGAAATACACACACCAAAAAAAAGAAAACCATACAAAAAAATGATGCCCTTTTTCTTTGTGTCTAGGCGTGTGTGTTGCTGTGGGGGTGTGTACACAGGTACATAGTTGCCTAGAGAGGTTAGGAGAGGGCATTGGAGTTACAGTGAGTTGTGAGCTGCCCCAAAGTTGGTGTTGGAAGCCAAACTCTGGTCCTTTGTAAGTTCAGTAAGCATTTTTAAGTGCTGGGCCATTTCTCCAGAGTCCCCACCCTTCCAGCAAACATGATTAAGCTTTATGGTATCCTTTTCTTTTATTCGTTGCACTCAGGCAAAAGTTTAGGTCTAGAGTGCTAACTAGGAAGGAGGACACACATAAAATGATAAGCTGATATATAGCAGGGCCTGGTGGTATGCATCTGTAATCCCAGCTCTTTAGAAGCAGAGCTGGGAGAATTGTCACATGTTTGAGGCCAGCCTGATCTACATAATGAGTTCTAAGCCAGCCTAGACTGCAGAGTGAGATCTATCTTAAAACAGTAACATGAGAGCTGGAGAGATGGCTCAGAGGTTAAGAACACTAGCTGTTCTTCCAAAGGTCCTGAGTTCATTTCCCAGTAACCACATAGTGGCTCATAGTCATCTATAGTGAAATCTGGTGCCCTCTTTTGACATGCAGAAGTACACACAGACAGAACATTGTATAAATGATAAATCAAAACAAAAACAAACAAAACAGTATGAGGTCTAATTTGTAGGTCATTTATCAAGTGTTGTTGAAATCTATTTGAAGTGGGATGTGGAGATGGACTAGGCAAAGACTGGGCCTGAAGCCCACTCTGATAGGAAGGGAGAATGTGATAAAGCCCTTGCCTAGTGTCTGAGGCTCTGGGTTCCTCCCCACCACCTTAAACCACATAGCAAAAAGAAGAGGCTGTTTCAGAGGTGAAGGCTCTGAAAGTGTACATGCCCCAGTGCAGGAGTGTACATAGAAGACAGAAGCTGAGAAGAGCTGAGAGGTGGGCAGGTGTGGAAGTGAGAGGCAGCTAAGACCCTGGGGGCTTCACTGAGGCTGCAGTGAGATTCTTTCACAGTGAGGTGGGCAGTGGTGTGGAATTGGAACAGAAGAGTGACGTAATGTGACTCAATCTTTGAAAGGCTCACAGCCTCTGTAGAAGAAGCAAATTGGTCATATTTGTGATTTTTGCGGATTCTTCTCAGGTAGAAGAGTGTTTTATTTTTATTTTAGGGAAAGCAGGGACAAATTGCATTCACCCACTGAGATATTCCTGACTCATTTAGAACACCCATTGCTGGACATCAAATTGAGTAAGCATGGCTGAAAGTCCTGTGGCTGTAGGGTTGAGCTGTTCAATAGAGTAGTCACTGGTCATATGATATGTAGCTTTCAGTGTAAAGCTACCAAAATTACACAGCCATATTAGGACGTCACTTATGTCACTTAAGTTCTTGAATTGTCTTTCAGTTAATTTCAGTCACACTGTCAGTAATTGGTGGTGTTAGCAATTACCGACTACGTACTCATGTCATTCAACTTCTCGCTTTCAGTTTGTGCATGAGAAGGAGATTATGGCAGAAGATGACCAAGTGTTCCTTATGAAGCTACAGGTATGACGCTGCATTAGAGGTGGTCTTAGGTGGAACCAGTTTTGCAAAGATGATTTCATTTGCCTTCAAGCCCTATGTATATTTGTATAACTATCATGTACTTACATTTACTGCTTTTTTATCTATTGCATGTATGTGATATGGGGCTGAGATATGCATGTATGTCACAGCTCCTGTATTGTCAGAGGACAGCTTTGGGGTTAGTCCTCCTGGGGCTTGAACTCAGGTCATCAGGGTAGATGGCAAATGTCTCTACACCCTTAACCATCATGTCAGGGATTTATTTTAATTTTTTAAAACTTAAATGAATTACTAATATTTTTTAGATTCATTTTATGTGTGTGAATGTTTTGCCTGCATATATATTTGTGTACCATGTATGTGTCTGATGCCCAAGGAGGTCAGAAGAGAGCTGTAGGATCTCCTAGAACTGGAGTTTGCATGATTATAAGCTACTGTATGGGTGCTGGGAATCGAACCCAGGTCCTCTGGAAGAACAAGAAGGTCTCCTAACTGCTGTCTTGAAAAATAAGTTGGGGGCTGGAGAGATGGTTCAGAGGTTAACAGCACTGGCTGTTCTTCCAAATGTCCTGAGCTGGATTCCCAGCAAGCAACCACATAGTGGCTCACAACCATCTATAATGACTCTGGTGCCCTCTTCTGGCCTGCAGGCATAGATACAGGCATAATACAGTATAAATGAATGAATCTTAGAAAAAAAGGAAGAAAAAGAAGTTAAGGGCTGGAGAGATGAATGGCTCAGTGGTTAAGAGTACTGGAAGAGCAGGTGTACAAGCAGATAGATAACTCATACAAATAAGTAAATAAATAAATCTTTAAAAAAAAGAAAAGAAAAAAGTGAAGCTGTGCATATTTTCTTTAAAAAGACAGTAATGTAGACTATGAATGTTTAAACTAGAAATCTTTTTTTTCCCCAGTCTCTTTTAGCAAAGCAACCACCAACTGCAGCTGGAAGGCCTGTGGTCAGTATTACAGTAATTCTCTTAATCACACGAGAGTGCGTTTGCTTGCACGCTCGCGGACACACACGCACACGCACACCCACACCCACACGGGTGTGCTTCAGAATCAACTTCAGTTGCTCTTCTGGAATTGTGAGATGTTTTTAGAGAACCTGTACTCCTTTTTAGAACATTGAAATGTAAATATCTTTAGTGTTTATTTCTTACCAGTCACTGTATAAGCCGTGCGTGCGTGTGTGTGTGTGTGTGTGTGTGTGTGTGTGTGTGTGTGTGCAGTGATTGGTATCCTAAAACATGATGGCTGTGGTAATGGGATTATTAGCATTTTTATCAATAAATTGTAGTGTAAAATCTAGTAGAATAGGTGGGGACTGTAGCAGAGTGATTTTTAATATTATAAAAGTTTTAATTCTTAATATTTGTTCTCTTCCCATTTTTACCTAGGATGCATCACCAAGAGTCCCTGGCGGTTCCCCTAGAACACCAAACAGATCTGTGTCATCCAATGTAACCAGCGTGTCCTCCATCCCTGGTGGAACAAAAAAAATTGATCCAAACATGAAAGGTATGGCCCTGTCTCCCGGAAAAGGCCATTTTATAATGACCACACTTGTTTGGAGGCCGCTTAAATGTTTCCCTTTTCTTCTCCATGCTCTAAGCTTTGTTTGGGAGCTAGGAGCTCAAATTCTTGTAAACATGACAGTATCCTCTCAGTGCGTCACTGCTCATTTTGAAAGCTTTAGTTAGACTGTAGGAAACCACTGGAGAAAGGAATTTTGATAGTCAATAGGTAATGTAGGGTTAGTGAAATGGTTTGGCTGGTAAAGGCACTTGCCATCAAGCTGCAACCAGAGTTCAGTCCCCTAGAGCCACCCACATGATGAAAGGAGAGAACCATCCCTGTGCATTGCCCTGTAATCTATACACACACACACACACACACACACACACTGATATAAATGAAATAATACTTTTGACCCTTTGAAATACCACTGTAGAGCTGGCGAGATGGTTTAGCAAGTAAAGAGCTTGCTGCAGGAGCCTAGCACCATGAGTGCTGTCCCAACACATGTAAAGGTGGAAGGAGAGAACCAACTCCATCAAGTTCTCCGTCCTCGCACGTGCAGTGTGATGTCACATACACTCCCACTCTCATGCTCAACACACGTCAACACGTGCACAGTAATAATAAATAAAATCTTGTGATTGCTTTCTGTATGAGTAGCTTTTAATATTTTATGGAAAACTAACTCTTTGTTCTAAAAGGCTTTTTGTTTGTTTGTGTCCTAGCTGGAGCAACGAGTGAAGGCGTCCTGGCAAATTTCTTCAACAGTCTGTTGAGTAAGAAGACTGGCTCTCCTGGAGGCCCTGGGGTCGGAGGGAGTCCTGGAGGAGGGGCTGCCAGTGGAAGCACCAGTTTGCCGCCATCTGCCAAAAAGTCAGGTAGAGACTCCCGAGCAGGGCGCTGTTCTTGGACATAGCCCTGATGAGTGTGGTATGCACGTGCCTTTAGAAACTGTCATAGGGTCCAATTTCAGACCGTGTTCATCTCTCAAAAATAAGTCAAACTTTCATGCCTTCCAGGCACTAGGCCACAAAGCCTTCTGTCTGGGACTGCCTAGCTGGGCATTCGTACACTACAGTCTTAGCAGTGGGTCTTGTTTTCTGTGCTTCTGAGGTTCCTTCATGTACTAACCTGTGTCAGAGCTTCCTTTTTCTTCATGGCTCAGTAATACACCAGTGTGTGGATAAGCCACTTTTTATTTAGCTATCCTTTCTTTCTTCCTTTCTTCCTTTCTTCCTTCCTTCCTTTCCTTCCTTCCTTCCTTCCTTCCTTCCTTCCTTCCTTCCTTCCTTC